GGAAGCACACTTATACTGTATACATATTTAAATTTTAATTCTGAATCTTTTATGGGTAACTTGGTGAAGGATATAAGGAGCAGTATTTTTACATCCTTGAGTAGTTGATGATGCTACTTCCACTTATGATCTCCAAGGATAGGAGCTGGCACTTTCCTGCCTTCACTATTAGTTGTATTATAAAAGTTTAAAAACAGTAGCATCCTAGACCACTAGCTATGGGGGAGAAAAATTGGGAGGGAAACAAAGTGCTGTCTTTTTTCTTTCCCCACAGAGAAGCATATTACCTACATATATAGTAGTTATTCACTTTCATTTCATTTGGCATAATAATATTTCACTTCCAGTAAAAATCTCACACATATAAATATCTTATTATTCTTGCTTCATTTACTGAATTACTTTGATAGGAATATTAAATATTTCATTTCATGTTTCCCTGACGTTTTGAGTTAAAGGTATTAAAAATTAACTTTCTTTTGGTGATTCAGGGCAATTATTTTTACGCACATGAACTATTTTGTGCATGTATCTGCATTTTGATACATTCAAATTTTCTCGAGTTCTATATACCGATGCAGTTTGAGGATTTTTTTTCCTTTTTTTTTTTTTTTTAAGCACTCTTCTGGAGGCCTGCTTTTTTGCCATTAAACTGGTCTTCTTGCTATCTTGAGCCTTCTTTCTCGTGTCTACCCTCCCCTCCTTTAAAATTCTGCCTTCAATCTGATCTCATCCACATTTGTTAGAAGTATTTCTTAAGGAAAATAATAACAGGGAACTAAGAGAAACCTAAGTGGATTGACAAATGGATACATTTTATGAGGGGGGACCGGGATGGGGAATACATGTAAATCCATGGCTAATTCATTTCAATGTATGACAAAAACCACTGCAATGATGTAATGTAATTAGCCTCCAACTAATAAAAATAAATGGAAAAAAAATAATTAGGCATACAGACACATACACACAGACATTCACATATGCAAATGCTACTGTCCATGGGATTCTCCAGGCCAGAATACTGGAGTGGGTAGCCTTTACCTTCTCCAGGGGATCTTCTCAACCCAGGGATGCGACCCACGTCTCCTGCATTGCAGGTGGATAATTTACCAGCTGAGGCACAGGGAAGCACATTTATACTGTATACATATTTAAATTTTAATTCTGAATCTTTTATGGGTAACTTGGTGAAGGATATAAGGAGCAGTATTTTTACATCCTTGAATAGTTGATGATGCTACTTCCATTTATGGTCTCCAAGGATAGGAGCTGGCACTTTCCTGCCTTCACTATTGGTTGTATTATAAAAGTTTAAAAACAGTAGCATCCTAGACCACTAGCTATGGGGGAGAAAAATTGGGAGGGAAACAAAGTACTGTCTTTTTTCTTTCCCCACAGAGAAGCATATTACCTACATATATAGTAGTTATTCACTTTCATTTCATTTGGCATAATAATATTTCACTTCCAGTAAAAATCTCAGATATATAAATATCTTATTATTCTTGCTTCAATTACTGAATTACTTTGATAGGAATATTAAATATTGCATTTCATGTTTCCCTGATGTTTTGAGTTAAAGGTATTAAAAATTAACTTTCTTTTGGTGATTGAGGGCAATTATTTTTATGCACATGAACCACTTTGTGCATGGATCTGCATTTCGATACATTCAAATTTTCTCGAGTCCTATATACTGATGCAGCTTGAGGATTTTTCTTTTTGTTTTTTTTAAGCACTCTTCTGGAGGCCTGCTTTTTTGCCGTTAAACTGCTCTTCTTGTTGTCTTCAGCCTTCTTTCTCGTGTCTACCCTCCCCTCCTTTAAAATTCTGCCTTCAATCTGATCTCATCCACATTTGTTAGAAGTATTTCTTAAGGAAAATAATAACAGGGAACTAAGAGAAACCTAGGTGGATTGACAAATGGATACATTTTATTAAATGATATTGTGACATTTATATTGGTGTCTTCAAGGTATTTGGGGCTTCCCTGATTGCTCAGTTGGTAAAGAATCCGGCTGCAATGCAGGAGACCCTGTTTGATTCCTGGGTCGGGAAGATCTGCTGGAGAAGGGATAGACTACCCACTCCAGTATTCTTGGGCTTCCTTTATGGCTCAGCTGGTAAAGAACACACTGGAGACCTGGGTTCAATCTTTGGGTTTGGGAAGATCCCCTGGAGAAGCTAAAGGCTACCCACTCCAGGATTCTGGTCTGGAGAATTCCATGGACTATACACTCCATGGGGTCACAGAGTTGGACATGACTGAATGACTTTCACTTTTCAAGGTATTTTTACTTACATTCAGTTTCTTGGTAAGTTGTAAGTTACTGGATAAATATCTCCAAATAAGTGAAGAGTTAGTGCATTTATATTGCTTTTCTTATTCTACCGGACTCCATCAAAGCATAAGCCAATAATGGGCTTTGTTGACTTGACAGACCAGCAACTTTAGTCTCAACATCAGCACAAATATTTGCAAAGGGAGAACAATCTTTTTTGCTTCTGATCTCTGGACAACCCTTCTTTCTGGTAATGATTTTAGTATTATTTGGGGTCAAAAAAAGAATTTTACTCAGTTTATGTGTGGGCCTATTAAAAAACTGTAGTACTCAGCCCAAAGTGAATCTCAACCCAAAATGTCCCACCTCTCTCCCTTTCATGGAGTTTCGGTTTGGTTTGAATAACAAAAACCTCCACCTTCAGTCTTAATTCTGTTTGGACAAATTCAGAGCATCTACCTGGAGATGTTTAAATTTCATGGTCTTTGCTGATCTTGTTACTTTGAGTTTTATCCTGGCAACTCTGATTCTCTTTTCTTAAGTTTTATCTAATTTTCTCAATTCAGAAACATGTTTTTTTTTTTTAAATCATATGTTCTTTATCTTTCTGTTCCATTGTTGTTTATTACAGGATATTAAATATAATTTCCTGTGCTATACAGCATGGCCTTGTTGTTTATCCATTTTATGTAATAGTGTATGTCTGCCAATCCCAAACCCATAATTTATCCTCCTCTACCTCCATTCCCCTTTGCTAACCACAGGTTTGTTTTCTATGTCTGTGAGTGTGTTTATGTCTCACAAATAAGTTCATTTGTGTCATACTTTAGATTCCACATATAAGCTATTCAAAAGATATTTATTCTCATGTGCTCCCAAAGATAATGACCCTGTGTAATTAAGCCTTTTAATCAACACATATATTGAGCACCCTCAGCATGTTGTGGAAGGTAGAGAGAGAAAATAAATTGAAGCAAAGTTTCATAAATTTTTGTCTGTGATGAAACAGGATTTGTTTTTTTTTTTTTCATGAAAAATAAAATCAAATTATATATCACTCTATGTACAGAATTTTTTCTCCATTTATTTTTTTTTCACTCAATGAAAAGTTATTAAGTTTGATTCCTTTAGGTAATAAAGAATGCATGCACTGAAAGCAGGAATCTCTTTCCCCTGATTCCTCTTTAGGAGAAACTAAGTCAGTGAAGGAGAAATCCCCACTTCTGATATAACAGCTTTGAGAGAGAAAGGTCAGTGCAAGTTTGGCCTCAATTACGGACATCAGGAAGAACCAGGGATAAAACACTGATTTGTTGATGGCTCAGGAAGTATACATGAAAGCTAATCTTCCTTTTTTGCTGTTCCTTGATCAAGAAGGTTTTAAAATACAGACTAAGATCAGCCTTCGGCACCATATTTCTGTTAACCACATCTGCTGACAGAGGATGAAAAGAGTTTCCTGGCTTAACTAAAGTCTTCCAACCAGAGAACAATAGAAAGATAAGTAGGAGTCTGAATTGATTAAAACCACTGATTGAATTTCTTTTTGTATAAACAATCTCTTTCATAAGTCTGTTTCTAAATTCCCAGTTTTAGAGAATATTATGATGACTCATATAGATGGGTTGAGAAATTGAAAAGGATGACTTCATTTCATTAGAGCTAGATTAGAAGCCATGTTTCAATCAAATTTGAAGGTTCTATTCATATATGTCAGAGAAAGGGATGGGCAGCATTCCTTTAAGTATATTAAAGAAAAACTAATTAGCTCTTGAAAGTTTGTGCTTTTTCTTTCAAAGTGAGGTAGTTGTTGGCTTAAGCCTGGGAGTAAAATAAAAAGGCTATAACTTATAGGGGAGTATTTGAATGTTGGGCGGAACCAAGGCTCTGGGCTATGGTTCTAGTCTTTGTCTTTGAGTGCTTGTTTGTTTTCATTCTTTGGTAGATTCTTATCATTTTTAAATTTTTTTTTTAATTGGAGGATAATTGCTTTACAATGTTGTGCTGGCTTCTGCCATACAATAAATTGAATCAGTGATAGTTATTGTATATCCCACCCTTCTAGAGACTCCCTCCCACCCGAACCACTTTAGGTCATCACAGAGTGCCAGGATGAGCTCTACAATGCTGGCTATACTAACTGAGAAAGTAGCATTGACGTATATACACTACCATGTGTAAAATGGATAGCTTCCCACTAGCTATCAGTTTCACAGATGAAAGTGAAAGTCGTTCAGTCATGTCTGACTCTTTGCAACCCCATAAACTATACAGCGCTTGGAATTCTCCAGGCCAGAATACTGGAGTGGGTAGCTGTTCCCGTCTTCAGGGTATCTTCCCAACCCAGGGATCGAACCCAGGTCTCCCACATTGCAGGCAGATGCTTCACCAGATGAGCCACCAGGAAAGCCCATTTTACATATGGTAGTATATACACGTCAATGCTACTTTCTCAATTTTTCCCACCCTCTCCTTCCCCAGCTGTGTTCACAAGTCCATTTTTTATGTCTGCACCTCTATTCCTGCCCTGCAAATAGGTTCATCAGTACCATGTCCCTGAGCTTCCAAGAGATCACTGGAAAGGATGAAGACATGGGACGGATGAAAGATGGACTCAATCAAGACAGGACTTGTCATGCTGCTTTGGGAATCAGAAAATAACTCTAATGCACCTGTTTTGTCTCACTTCTTTCTGCAGATAATACCTTGTAAGGAATGACTACTTTAAATCATTCTTCAGTTAGTGAATTTATCCTTGAAGGGTTAACAAAACGCCCAGAGCTTCAGTTGCCACTCTTCCTCCTGTTCCTTGAAATCTATGTAGTCACCGTGGTGGGGAACCTGGGCATGATCTTCTTAATTGCTATCAGTTCTCAACTTCATTCTCCAATGTACTATTTTCTCAGCCATTTGTCATTCATTGATCTCTGCTACTCCTCTGTCATTACTCCAAAGATGCTGGTGAGTTTTGTGTTAGAGAAGAATGTTGTTTCCTTCCAGGAATGCATGGCTCAGCTTTACTTCTTCCTTATTTTTGTAATAGCAGAAGGTTATCTTCTCACTGCCATGGCGTATGATCGTTATGTTGCAATCTGCAGCCCATGCTTTACAATATTATCATGTCCCATAGGGTCTGTTCCATAATGATGGGTGTAGTATATTCACTGGGCTTATTTGGGGCCACAGTTCACACTACCCGCATGTCAATGTTGTCCTTCTGTGGGTCTCATGTTATCAGTCATTATTTTTGTGATATTCTTCCCTTGTTGAGTCTCTCCTGCTCCAGCACCCATGTTAATGAGATACTGCTGTTTATTATTGGAGGAGTTAATACCTTGGCACCGACACTGGCTGTACTCATCTCTTATGCTTTCATCTTCTCTAGTATCCTCCATATTCACTTCATCAAGGGACGCTCCAAAGCCTTTGGCACTTGTAGCTCCCATCTCATGGCTGTGGTTATCTTTTTCGGGTCTATAACATTCATGTATTTCAAGCCTCCTTCGAGCAATACTATGGAGCAGGAGAAAGTGTCCTCCATATTCTACACCACCGTGATCCCCATGCTGAACCCCTTGATCTACAGTTTAAGGAACAAGGATGTGAAGAATGCACTGAGGAAGGTGCTTAGGGGAAAGTAGTCACCCCAACAAAGGAAATTTCAGCAGAGAGGAAGAAGTGAACCAGATGAAAGGTTGTCATGAGCTCTGTGTTATTTCTTTTTCTCCTCTAGAGACAAAATTCACTGTTACTTACAAAATATATATTTGTACTTGAGAATGTTTGAGGCATTTTAGTCATTTTAATCAAATGATAAGATTTTCTTATAGTCAATATAATATTTGGAAATCTTACTTGTATTCAAGGAACAGGATTTGGCAGAAGAGGGAGGGCAAGTGAAAAAAAAAACCAACAAAAAATATGTTAAAGATATTAATTTTGAAAGTGCTTGGTAAATAAGAAGTGGGTTCAGGGTTGTGTTTGAAAAAAGATGATGTTAACTGATTCAATATCTTGAAGGGCAGGAAGAGAGGTATTTTTAAACTTCCAAGGGAATATTTCTTTTTTCTATCCCCAAGCTGTTATAGTGAAATATTGAGAATATTGATATCACGACAGAGCTGTGAGGATGCAGTACTTATAGTAAAGAACCACACATAGGTGGATTGTGGAGTGTGTGTGTGGGGGGGGGGGAGAATAGCTTTAGGATGAAGAGGTAAGGGTAAGAGATATCAGAGTTAGCCTAATCTTATCATATTCAGTTAAGATCAATTATAACTAATCTAAAGTCTCACATTGCCTTTCTTTGGAGGCTATCACTTAAGCCATAACTAGCCATTAGAAGTCTAATAGAGTGTGGTTCCAACTTGGGGAGTTTAACTTACTATTCTGTATTAGAATAATTAGTTTAATGAGGGCAATGCTATTTCTTTTCTCCTGGAATTGTATATAGCTCTTCCCACCCATACTCTGTATGAATCATAGTGTTGCTTTGTTTGTTTGTTTGTTTTAATCACCTTGTGACTTTGACTGTATCCACAATTTCCCTCTGGTGCAGGAACCCAGCCCTCTTGGAGATCAGAAACACAACCTCCTTGGTGGTTACTTGCCCTGAGACATCATTTTGGGCATCAGTGCATAACTTCCATCTTACTCTACTCTTAAGTATGGGGGTTTTAGGGGTATATGCATGAAGTGGCTGGGGGTCAAGCTAAATGATTTTTTTGTCTTTGTTCAATGACTTGAATAAGAATATTGGAAAACTTTTAATTAGGTTTGCCATTAACCTTCATTAAGTATGAAGTTGTCATAACAACTTATTTAGTGGATGAAACAAAGATGATTTTCAAAGACTTCCAGAGGCTGGAATGATGAGCACAATTAATGAGTTAAAATGTGCATGGATAATATAAAATTTATACTTTTACCAAATTGATGAGTGGAAAACACTGGTTAACTGTAGAGAATTAAGAACTTTTGATGACAACAGAGTCAATAAAATGAGTACAGCTTCTTTAAAGTTAATGTTACCTTGGCTGCAATAGCTGTATTTTAGCAGAGTAAGAAAACTTAAAAAAAAGTCATTTGCACTATAATGCTTAGAATACTTCCATTTGAATGTAATTCATTCAGTGGATATCACTTTTCAAAGACCGTTGGCTCCTTTTGCATTCTGAGGTCTATGGGCATGATGAATAAGGGACTTGAAATTATACATCCATTCCTATATTAATTCTCTTGGTTATTCATATAGTAAATATTGCAGTATATACTTAGCATTATTCCTCATATTGGTGATAAAGAGATGAATAAAAGCACAAAAGTCCTTACCTTCATTGGATTTAGGTTCTGGTATCAAAGAAAGAAAATAAACAAGGAGACATATATGTAATGTAATAGGTCACAAAACGCTTTTTTAAAAAATAAATCAGGTAAGGCAAGAGTATATGGGTAGGGGGATGCTTAGATTCAAAAAAGAAAAAAATAAAGGGCAGAAGTTTGGTTGTGAAACTTGTGGTAGTTTTTGCCACAAGGCATAACTAGGCTATGAGGAAGAAAGTTGCAGAGTCACATTTTTTTAAACAATTTAAGAAAGCCTTTTTCTCAAATTTCTCATTTCCATACCATCACCATTTGTAAGTGTGCCTCCAGCCTCCGTATGCTCATTTCCTGGCCTGAAAACAGCTTACATCAAGAAGGTGAAATTTGGGGTGTGGGGGCATCTTTCTCTCAAGGAAATATAGCAAATCTTTGTTTTGGGCCTTCTATTAGTTCCTTGTGGCTACTGTAATGAATTATATGTGAAAAAGAAAGTGAAAATGTTAGTTGCTCAGTCATCTCCTACTGTTTTGCCAACCTGTGAACAGTAGCCCCCCAGGCTCTTCTGTCCATGAGATTTCCCAGGCAAGAGGACCAGAGTGGGTTGCCATTTCCTTCTCCAGGGGATCTTCCCTACCCAGGGATCCAACCCAGGTCTCCGTCTGAACCACCAGGGAAGCCCAATAGATTACCGTAACGGAACTTTATTCTCTCACAGTTCTGTAGGTCAGACATCCAAAAATCACGTGAGTGGACAAGAGCCTAGTTCCCCCAAGAGGCTCTAGGGAAAATCTGATCCTTGTCTCTTCTGGCTTCTGGTGGAATTCCTTGGCTTGTGACTGCATCACCACAATCTCTGATTGGTTACATCACTGCCTCCTGTTTGGTGGGAAATCACCCTTTGCTTCCCTCTTATAAGCATGTGCTCGATTGTATTTAGGGCCCTCTGGATAATCCATTGCACTCTCCCCATCTCAAGATCTTAAGTTAGTCACATCTGCACAGTCTGTTCTGGCCCTAAAATGTAGCACCCATAGGTTCCAGGGTTTAGGAAGTAGACCTCTTTGGGGAGATACTTTTTCAGCTTATCGTGGGCCCATGGGAAAACAAGGACCTGTGAGATTAATTTAGAATTGTGTGTATCCTCTAGGCTTCTCAGATAGCTTGTCTTAGACAACAGAATGGTCTTACATTTAGATCTTTAATCCATTTTGAGTTTATTTTTGTGTATGGTACATAGGCAAAACACTCTCCGACATAAATCACAGCAGGATCCTCTATGACCCACATCCCAGAATTTTAGAAATAAAAGCAAAAATAAACAAATGGGATCTGACTGGTTACATTGCCTCCTCCTGTTCGCTGTGAAATCACTCTCTGCTTTCCTCTTATAAGCATGTGCCTGATTGTGTTTAGGGCCCTCTGGATAATCCATTGTACTCTCCCCATCACAAGATCTTAATTTAGTCACATCTGCATAGTCTGTTCTGGCCCTAATATGTAGCACCCATGGGTTCCAGGGTTTAGGAAGCAGATATGTTTGGGGAGATATTTTTAAGGCTTTTCATGGAAAAGCCTTATTTCCCATTGAAAAGCCTTATTTCCCATGGGAAAATAAGGACCTATGAGATTAATGGAGAATTGTGTGTATCCTCTAGGATTCTCAGATAGCTTGTCTTTTACAATAGAATGAAAGAAAAAAAAAAGACTCAAACTATAAGACATAAAGCCACAAAATATTACTGTAACTCTTTCAGGGCATGTACCTAGACACCTGGAAAAGGGATATTCATTAAGTCCAAGTTATTATCAAAGTGTGTGGATATAAAAAAAAAATCAATGTCTTTGTTTTATGTTCTACACCCTGGAGGCTCATTAGAGGTATTCATAGCTTTTTCATATCTGTCATTTAAAACAAACTCCAGTACTTTAGGCAGCCATAATGATCTCACTTATCTTTTCTGAGGGTTTGGCTCCTTGGACTGATTTGAAGTAGAGTGTCTTTCACGTTATCTAACCATTTATATTTTACTCAGACAGTTTCTAAGCTGGAAGAAACAGGTCCTATATATTATGGTTAGTCAACAAATCCACCTCCATCACTGCCTAGATACAGAATAATTTTGCCCATCCATATGGGTGAGAAAGAACAGACATGAATGGCAGAAGAAAGTGAGTCTCAGAGAATTCTAGGAACTTAGGTCAGTTATTTTGACCAAATGAACAGTACATATGTAAAATGCTTAGTCCTAAGCATCAGTTAAGAGTAGTTCTAATTGTAAAGCTAGGAACAGCAGTTATAGTCAGTGATATTATTGTTATTATTGGAACAGGTTTGGAACGAGAGAATTAAAACACACTACTGAAAAAACCCAATTCTGAATCAACTGTATTAATACATCATTTATGTGCAGACTTTGCTAGAGATCCTTGGATACTTTACAAATGGACTTCATTAGAGAAGGGAGTTCAGTGGTAAAACCCTGATATTTCTGGCAAGCCTAGAGCAGAAAAGTAGAGGGCGCCCTTAAACGCTACCATTGTCTTTGATAGTGGTAAGATGATTGGATGACATCATCAACTCAATGGACAGGAGTTTGAGCAAATTGCAGGAGATAGTGAAGGACAGGGTAGCCTGGCATTCTGCAGTCCATGTGGTTGCAGAGTCAGACAGTACTGAGTGACTGAACAGCAACAACTAAGTCCCTAGAACACATGCCACAATTATCCTAGAATAGGAAGAGTGCTGGAAAGGTTTAATAAACAACAATGGATTTAGGTTGCTCAAGCCATTTAATGATATAAACTCCTGTCACCAGAAACAGTATAGGAGCAGTCACAGAAACATCATTGCTGGTAATATGCTAATACTATCATTGCATCACTGGTAATTAAAGATGAGTTCAGGGGGGAAGATTCATGGAAAATATATCTTGGGCTCCCAGCAGATTTCTGACCTGTATAAGGCTCTAAGTCCTTAGATAGGAAGGGCAGACGAGACTATGTTCTGTCTATATTGCCAAACTCTGTGGTTCACAGCATTTGACCTCTAGAGGGCTGACACATTTTTAGTTTGGCAGAAGTGCAGTGCTTAGTCACTCAGTCATGTCCCACTCTTTACAACCCATGGACTTTAGTCTGCCAGGCTCCTCTGTCCATGGGATTTTTCAAGCTAGAGTACTGGAGTGGGTTGTCCTTTCCTCCTCCAGGGGAACTTCCCTACCCAGGGATTGAACCTGCATCTCCTGTGTCTCCTGCATTGCAGGTGGATACTTTACCCTCTGAACCATAGTCATTCAAACAGAATAAGCAAGCAAATAAG